TGCGGTAACTCTGTTTACCATCAAACGCGCCGTTTGCTTTTTTGCCAATAATATAGTAAAAAAAATAAATAAAAAAACTACGCAGCATAAAAATAAATAAAAATCAGTTGTAAAAATGTACAAAAAAAGCCCTTTCCTATAATATTCCATTCAGACAAATAGGTGAATTTTGAAACTGAGTATCCGTATTGGTCCTCCTAGCAAAGAAAATAAAAATATTCGTTTTCAGTTATTTCTATTGTAATATATGTGTGTATAATGTGCTGAGATATAATGCTGTATAAATGACGATTGAACGAAGTCGCACCATAACCGTCGAATTCGTTTGTACCTTTTTGGTACGAAACCCTATAAAAGAACTTTCTATTATATATGTAAAACACGATTATAATATAATATAATAATTATATAATTTAATAATACTAAGTACCTATACCTGGGTACGTTGCCAGCAATATACCCTCTCAGGCCAACCTCCACGTGGTCCCCGTAGAATCAATCATGCTAAATTCCAGTTCCATTCATCACCATGGGCTAAGTGAACTGCCTTTTTATTCTTACCTATCATCTCTCACTGGTGCCCCGCCAGCGTATACCGTTAGCGCAAGCGAGGTTACCATTCCATTATCATCCATTAAAAAAACCTGGATACATTATTACGGTTACACTGATTCCACCTAGAAATATATGTAGATTCAAATTGATTTACTCATATTTATATGATGTCGTGTCGTGTTAAGTTGAAAATAACTTGTTTTCTCATTCCCAAAATACGATGTATTGCTTTCAAAACATGAACAAAAGGGTTGTTCGAGGTTAACAAATATGTGATCCCCTTCGTGGGTGTTATAGGCAGCTGCACAGAACTTGTTGCTACTGTATGTGTTTCAACTTTATTATTCAAGATTTTTTTTAAGCGAAAAAAGTTCAGCCGGTCGAAATTATTATTAAATCAAGTTGGTAAGAAATTATTATTACCAACCAAGTACAACAGAAATTTAAACTGATTTTTTTTAATATTATAGCATGCTTTATAAATCTTCGTGTTATCAATATTTTTTTATTTATATTACTTATACATTCAAATACCATTTTTCACAACCGACAAAATGAGTAGAATCCAATACAAAATTTAATATTTATTCTAGTTTTCAAGCTTTTTTTTAATAGATGGTAATGGAATGGTAACCCCGCCAGCGCTACCTGTATACACTGGCAAGGTATCAGTGAGGGATGATTTTTTTAATGGGTGATAATGAAATGGTAACCCTGTCTGCGCTATCGGTATACGCTGGCAGGGCACCAGTGGGAGATGATAAATAAAAATAAAAGCAGGTCAGTTAGCCCATCGTGAAGTATTCCATGAGAATTAACCACGTTGATTTCCAGGGGGAACCACGTGGAGATCGACCTGGTACACTGCTAGCAATGGAGCTATTACACCCTATTTCTAACAATTCCTTCTCCTCCCTATGAATGAGGGATGATAGGTGAAGGAAAAGCAGATCAGTTAGCCCATAGTGACGAATTCAAGAATAAATCAATTTTATTGTTAAAAGTTTTAGTCAAGCTTTTTCGATCTAATTACAGGTAAGTTAAACCAGTAGTTATTAAATTCATTACGATGGTTTCGAGGGGAACCGCGAAGAGGTCGACCTGATAGGGTCTATTGCTAGCAATGGGTGCTGATCCCCATTACTAACAAAACCTTGTTCCCCCCTACCACAGTGGGAATAAACCCTATGAATTGCAAAAATAATCGATCAAAAAAATACCATCAAATAAAGTCGGTTAAAAATGTAAATAGCTAGGTTACCTATATATCCTGCGACCTTTTTCACTTTGCAATAGCTAGAGATTATAGACTGCTACATTTTCCTACCTGAATGTATTTTTTAACTTCTTCAGTCTTCTACATCCATACATAAATTAGATCAGACTTTCTGTTTTCATTTCGTTTTGTGCGAAATTGGAATTTGTTTATATCGAACTATAAACTATACTTTCATCGCCATAATGTTTAATTAAATTCATTACGAGCACCTGAATTCCAGCATATCATTCGTTTCAACTGCAATGTCGCGCTGATCTGGCTTCTCAGATTGACACAAATCCTATTACATTTCAAATATAGTCGTTAAAGGGAAATTTATCAACGGTATCAATTGATCATTTTAGCTAAGTAATATTAATTTTAAAATTAAATTTAAAATAAACTGTATGGTTGTAAAGATTACGAGACCCCGCTCGAAATTAAGACTCTAATAATATTGCAAATATTCGTCATGTCATAAGCATTCACAGAATTTATGAATGCATACAATAGTACCTAGTAACAAATTTCGTAGAAATGTAGTCACACCTCGTGACCGCCTTGTCATTGCGCGCGCAAGCATCTTCCAAATGGCGGTCGTCGATCGATGAGCATCGATATGCTAAATTTTCTTTGATACGAATGTTTAGTGGCGACCAGGTATGCTTAGTAACTATTTAAGTATCTAATAAGTGTTGCGAGACAGTAACATATAGAAATATATTTACCTATGTTGTATATGTTACTATATACAAGCAGTAAGATATATCAGCTAGAAATAGCAAAATAGTATTTATAAACAAGTGCCATACATATTTAATTACATTTATTAGCTTAAAATAAAAACAATATTATACATATTGTACATTATTATAATCATTTGGTGATTAAATTAAAAACTAAAAAACGAAATGTTTGGTAAGTAAACAATAATTCATAAAATCATTAACCTGGTCATGTTTTATGTTAGGTAGGTACGTAGTCTTTACTCTGTTTTTAAAATAAATAACTATTTCAACAAAGTGCTTTTTCATTTTATTTCTATGCATCATTTATAATCTATTAATTTTAACGAGTTATTAATGTTCACATTTAATAAAAATGATGCAAGTACACTGAAGTAGGCGCTTATTTATTAGATGTTTATAAGGACTGGAAGGAGGATTTGAAAATGCAATTAACACCTTCTGTTCCATAATGAATTCTTTAAAACTCCAGGGACGAAAATCCAATCAATTTGCCTATGCATAGTTCGTAACCATGATACAAAGTTTCACTTTGATCACTGCACATCTTTTATATGATATCCATAACACTCTGTATGTAAAACGGGTCAATTTTTTGTTAGTTAATTGTCAAATTAGCGGACTCGTTTTTTTTATCAGTCACGCATAAAATATATGTCTTGTCGTATTTTTTAATAAAAAAGAGTTTACGCAATAGAAAAAATGCAGAAATCATAATACAAAATAAATATAGAAGTCACAAAAGAATTACTCATAACTATTTATCATGCAAAATTGTATGAAAAAGTTGATCCGTTTTTCTCGAAGCATTTCTATGAAGATTCTCTATCTATATAATCGAAGGTTGTGTGTGATCTCAAATGTTAACTAATGTTGAAACTAATGTACTTACTGAAATTAAAAGTATATACAGCATCCACAAAAAAGTCACGCTTACTCAACATGAAGGTACGATACCATCGAGATTTGAAATCTATCACCAGATATAGCAATGGTTAAGTGATATGCCTGCCCTTGTAAGCGTTAGTGACGTACACTAGCTACAAAAAGCATCGAATCTAATTCTGGCAAAGTCAATGACTTGATTTGTAAAAAACTAATTAGTAACTGATTTTGATAACATTTCTATGGGACCGATTTGAAAGCAAATTTTTCTCGGACTTCTATCGTATGTTATTGAAAATAAAATACAGCCCTACGTTGCTCGCTGATATGTAGCTTCCTATGGGTGTATTATTTTTAGTATTTTCCAAATCGGTTCATAAATGACAGCACTTATAAAATAACAAACGTAAAAATATATGACCGAATTGAGAACATTGAAAAAAGAAGAGATTGTTTTTTTTGTTTATAATAAATAAACTCAAAGACTACCTATTCTATATTAAAAATTCTTTCACCTATAAGAAGCTGCACTGTCAGTGACTAACATAGGCTGTATTTTATTAAAAATAACTCAAATGGACCCCTACTATAGCATAAATAGAATATCTAACAAGCTTGACTGCAAAATATTAAAGAATACTATTGTGGGTGTATCGTTTTTGTTGCTATTTTGTTTTTAAAATAGTGCATTTATATAAGCGACTGCCTCAATATCAAACGAGAATTATTAGTAATCAAGTTATATAATCCAATCGTAGGTCTCACTATCTCTTTTCAGAATATCTATTAATTTAAAAAAATTACACCATAAGGGTTTCTTTGTATCATACAGGAATGAAATCCTAAAAAATGAAACGAGATACAAGTATGAAATCAAGAAAATTACAACTTTCTAGATGCGATAGTATTCCCATCAATATCGTCAACATATTTTATTGGTGCTACAAAGTTCAAGGAGCATCATGTTATTACATTCAATTTGTCCATGAGCATCTGTAATTTTTTGAGAACAGATCACTTTGACTAGTAGGGACTCATCTTAAAAGTATGCTGACGAGTATTTATAGGTCAGATAACTATCTACCTACTTAGTAATCGGTGGCGCCGCACTCTGTCGACTGTCGCAGTTGTGGTAAATATAATGCACTACTTGCCTACATTAGCATTCTCAACTTTGTTACCTATTCTGAGACTGGAATCCAGAATGACAGAGCCAGTTTGCTTTTGCCTCTCAATGAATTTTAGTCCATGTAGGCGAACGGTCAATGCTAACTTTGATCAATGACATTTGTTTATAGGTAATATGTAATTTGTTTATAGTTAGGTATAACTATAAAATAGAAATAAATGCGATAAATTTGATCTTTTTTCATTCAATTCATAAATGACTTGAAATGTCTCTTAGTAGACAGATATGTACATTTATAATTACACTCGATTTACTTACAACTCACTGAGCTTATTCGAATCCAAGGATAAGCCTTTTAAACCAAGTTTACTTCAAGATCTACAAGGTGTCTGCCATGTTCAAGGGTAAGAAAATAATTTACAAATACTTTAGCTATGTAAGAATAATTTTATTTAAAATAATTATAAATATATCACAAGCACTTTGATTTCCTTATTTAACAAAAAATATCGCATCTTGATTCGACAGGAGCATGATAGTGATCTGAAAAACAAAAAAAAATTTATAAGTGACCAAACGTATTTTAAAATAGGTAAGCTCGCGTTTGTTCACGTGATGTATATTTATATTTTTCTAAAAGAATCAGATAATTCACCGCCGTAAAAAGTATCTTATATGTTAACCCAGATGCTAAATTACCATCACAACAAATTTTATCAAAATCAATTTTCTTGTCACAGAAGCGGCCTAGTGACAGTTTTATTACAGTTACAGTTAGGTAAATAATTGTTAAATTAGATAATAATTTAACAATCATAGATATTCTTATAAGATACAAAACATTAACTTTACATATAACATAGCATATAACATATATAAAATTTTTAAATAAAAACATTATATTGTGATTCTTCCAGAAGTGATTTTAGCAACAGTGAAGTCAACAAAGCTGGCTGTGATATGTTCCACAGGATGCACCACGCCACAACCACTTTGTTGGCCCCCAGCTGCGATTACAGCGCCACAAGTTCTACGAATATAAAACGAGGCAATGTGATGAGTCAGCGATGTCCTATCGCTCATCAAAGCTGGCTGTGATATGAACACTGAACACATATGACAACCACTTTGTGAGTGACAAAACACCTGAGTAGTGATAGATACACCTTTCTCACCGTTCGCTGTAATGTCTCACAGCCCAACTCGTCAAAAATGGCTGTGATATGATTAAGCGACATGGCACGGCCATTTTTACGAATGGGCCACGGACTTGCGTAGCGGCCATAGTCGTCTTAGGTAGCGGTCATCTCCGTAAACCGACCACATCAAAGTGGCTGTGATATGAAGACGGATAAACATTTCACCGCCGCTTTGACAGGCTAGGCCCGAGAAACGCACGTGTGGCTCTCACCTCCTGTTCGGTCACACTGCGGATCTGGTACGAGACAAGTGTGCTGTTACTAATGAGGCCATGCTCATCAAAGCTGGCTGTGATAGCTGCGTCATGATCTATGACAAACCAACTTTGATGGCAGGGCCACATTGAATGTCTATCTGGCCTGAAAATTTAATGTGCTAAAACAATGGTAACAATCACATTCACTAAAATCTGTTTTTATACATTGCACATTTAGTAAACAATCTTGGTATATTATTATACAAATTACTATACATAAAATCTACAAATAACTAAACAAAATTATATACAATTTTGTGACAAAACAATGGGAGTCACAAAAAATATCAAAAAATACAGGCGAAACAAAGTCTCCAATTTTTTATGTCGTTTAAAAAAGATAGTACATATTGATAATGTATTATTGTTTATCTATTATTTGTACGTACATACATACATACATTCATATCTATCACGCCTATTTGTTTTCTTTTTCAATGACTAACTCCGATAAGAAGATATTCTAAGATTATTTTAAATATACCAAGTATAACACAAATAGAACTTCAAATATTATGCCGTGGATTGCTGTAAAATCGTATAATAATAATAAATAAGTCCTAATAATAATAGTATGTCATATATACATATATACAAGCATGTATTCAAATTGATAATTTTATGAACACGCCTAAAAAGATTTAAACAAGCAACACCTAATTACAAGTTTACGGCATTTATAACAACTAACAATTACATAACATTAAATGCGATAGTTAATAAATAATAGCCATTAATAAAACATTTATTTAAATATACAAGGTGTATTTACAATATTTTATAAGCTGCCTTTAAAAGTGTACCTGTATTTAAGGTGTCATGTTATTCTATGTACATGTCATACTGCGCAAACTTTACAACGATCCCTGTATCTGTCTTGTTAAAATTCTTGGTATACAATTCAGTTCAGTACTATGACTCATAACGGTGCGTGCTACGTTCCATGGTGTTACGTACACACACTAATGGAAATGGAGTAGAAAGTCGAAAATGAGTCAATCTTTAAAAATGTCGCCGGAACAACCGTATAGTGAAAGACGAAGGTAACGGGAATAATTTACGCGATTCATTATTAATGAATATATTAAACATTTCACTATAAGTTATGGATCGATGAAACAAATTTGGTATTCTGCGTACATAGGAATGGTGGCGTAGTCATATGAATAGATATGAATTAATATTAAGTAGATGAATATAACTGTAATGGATAATTTAATGAAGAAAAATATTTGATTTATTCTTAACTAAAAAGATAAAATTACAAATAGTAAGCAAGGTATTATGGTAAAATTGCCTTAATCTTGTCCTAAATTTCCTGCATAATTTAAACTTACTCAAACGTTTCGTAAACACTGTATTGTACAAGAGAAACAGTATTTCGCTGGAGTTGAATTCACATTCTATACATCGTACAAGCATCTACAATGAGAGATCGTCAGATTCCAGCTTAAATGACCGGATTCCAACATTACAGAGAATCGAGTTACCACACTGCTATACCCCAACGCTGCCACTGCATTTAAGATCAGCTACACTAATCTGTTGATTGATCCATTTTCTGAGTTCCCTACAAATTTGCGGTAACCGTATATAATAATTACGAGACCTATGTTTCAACAAAGACGAAAACAAAGACAACGGTTTTAGTATCTTCAACCTTTTCGTGCTATATATGTGGTTTATTTTCGTGGTTATATGCGAGATAGCAATAAATAATACGCAACACGTAAGTTTGCGTATGAATGCTGCAGTATAAACAAATTGTTTACCTTTTTTTTTCTTATGTTTGTATTAAAATAGACTTAATTAGTTTACCATTAGGATTATTCAAATATATGTAAGATAAATATAACATATTTGTTATGTTACAATTATTTAAGCTAATTAATAAAATACCTATGCCGGTAGATTTGCATCCTCCTGTTGTTGTTAATATGGCTTTCTGTAAGTCCTATTCGCATATGAGCTTTGGCCTGCTGTCTGATGAAGAATAATATTTCTTTGATTTTTCTAAGTAATCTTATCTAACTGGTACTACTGTTTCATATGAAGCCTATAAATTGCTATCCTTTTCGAATAAAAACCTTAGATCACAATACAGTTTCCAGTGCAGATAGATTAATAGCGGCACATCACCACCGACAACATACTAACAGAACGTCAATTTTCTATATTTAAAAATTTAAATATATTAATATTTATATATGAATACAATAAATAATAACGTGTATATCAAAGATGGTTTCAATCTACGACAGTTGTACAATTACTTAAGTGTGGGCGTAATCATTTTCGAGCCGAGCAGACTGCTACCTTTGTATACACCCACGTTTAGATATAAATGTTGTTTTACAACAAGGAATAGATAAGAATTATTAAAATAAACTTTATTAAAATAACATTATATTCCCTTAGTTTTCGGTAATAACCAACCCCATCAGTTAAATGTCGAAGCAACCTTGCAAAGTATTGCACTACATTTTCAATCATAAGTGTATATCTATTCTATGTTTTCGAAGGCTTCTTACAACCTTTTTATTTAATGCACTTTCGATACATTAGTCACCACGTTGATGCTCATCAGACACGCGAAACGCCAACGCGAAGTCAAAACAACTTATTTGTCAAAAAGTAATGAGTAGTTTGATCGTTAGGAATAGGGTTGCTAGGAGTCAGTCAATGAATTAAGGTGGAGTTAGAGCAAATGAGCGAATGTTCATTTTTTGTACTTCCACAATGTTTTGTTTAGTGTATACATGCTAAAGCGGGAATTGCATTATCAAATCTGTCACTGTCAGTATGACCATTTTAAAATTACACACCCTACTTTATTCAGGTTAAAAATATGCCAAATTTTGCTTGTCTGCTCAAAAATATTGCGAAAATACTACCAAATTAATTATGCATAGTAAAAATTAACTAAGAATATTAACTAAAAATATTATTACAATCTGATATTTAATAACGATAATAACGTAAAAATTTGATATTATTTTTCAGATCATATCAAAAAAAAAGGATCACAGATTTATTTTAAGATTTGTGTTTCGATAGATAGGATAATAAGATAATATAATAATATTAAAAATCATTGTCCTTATGAATTTCTTTTATTTGTTAAAATATAATTAGGATAAGGTGGGTGAGTTTATGCGTATCTGACGAGTAACTAGTGTTACCTACAATACCTAGGATCCTGTATACATTTCGCAGGTCATATAATTAAAATTTTGATATTATGATTTTGTTTAAAAACACAGGTCACGGCCACACAGTGATCACTTTTGTATATAATAGTCCAATTTACTTGACCAGTAAAACAGACTTTCTAGATTTGACAAACTCAGTAACAAATACAAAGAAGCCATAATTGTAAACCTTTCTTTTGCTTAGTTTCGAGTTTACATAAGATAAAAGTCGATGAAATAACTTGGAACAAACGCCAAAATACCCAAACTCAATAAAATTTTGTTACCTGGGTTGGTGACTAAGAATCCATCCCGGAACCCAATTTACGTGAGTTAAAGCACGGTCCTTTACGTAAACATATTATGTTAATGTTTTAAATTTTGTTTTCCCCGATTAATCTATTATCGATTAATTTTATAATAAAATTTATTATACAATATATAAGACCCTACGTTATTTTAACAAAATTACAATTGTGATAAAATTAATATATAACCTATACAACAGAGAAAAACATACCGACTATAAAACTGTGAAAAGAATTATTAAAATCGGTTTAGAATTGGCGTCGATATATAATTGACGAAGTAATATAAACACATAAAAATGTGGGCGATTTAAGAACTTGAAAGAGAACGAATATAGGCAAATATAGATTACCATATAAATGAAATAAATTTATTACGTTCTTAGAAATATAAAGTATATATTTATATATACTTTATATTTCTCATACTTAATATACTTCATATTACAATGAAATAAATATAATAAGGAAGTAATATTAATTTTGATGTTATAATAAATATAAATAGATTATAAGAAATATTACAAATATAATAAACTAGTGATAGAATATAACACCTTCACCCTTTCGTATCATGTATTATTTCCC